ACACACACACACACACACACACACACACACACACACACACACACACACACACACGTGATGCGTGTTTTTGGTGATGTGTCCTGCAGGGACTGGACCGTGTTCCAGAACTGTCCTGTTGTTTGCTGGCTGGCAGCCACAGAAATCCTCCTGTTTAATATTCTCCTCTCCATCAGCTGGTTGCTCCTCAGATGGTTTCTGGRCCAACTGCAGGGATTAGGCTGCAAAGCTCTGAGAGGCAAACAGGAGCTTTTTATTTCCATTGGTCTGTGAGTTTGTTGCTTCATGTGAATCCAACCCCAGTCCTGTCAGAGTCTGATCCTTCACTTCAGTCTGTTTCTATTATTAGCTGCTCAGAGTCAGTTTCTTTGTAAAACTGAGACATTTTGTTCTATTACTAGTAGTARTAATAATAAAAAAACATTAAAGAGTTAAATTTGTTTTGGGCCAAATGTTTCAATGATGCAGATCTAATGTTAGTGCTCAGAGCAGGTTTATTTATTATCATTATTTCTTGGTGTTTGTTTTATAGTTTTTGTTTTTTAGATCAGTCTTCGCTCTCCTGTTGGCCCTTATGTTGTGTTTTCAGCATCTGAAGATTCTTGTGTTCCTGATACTTCCTGGTCCTCCAGTTCAGTTTTTTCCTCTCAGTTTTCATTTGAACCAGTCTTTATAGTTGGGTTTGTTGGGTTGTAGGTCGTTCAGCTCTCGGTGCATGGTTTTTGTGTCAGGATTCAGCTCCACATGCAGCAGGGATGTCTGTGTTTGTCCCTCAGAGTGGAACAGAAGTGGTTCTGGCACTCATCTGTGACTGAAACCAAGCCAAAGCTAGCTGAGGCACACTGAASTGCACGCTGAATAATTCAGCATGAATCCTGACGAGGTGCAGCTGTGGAGGGTGGAAATCACCCACTGCTGATGGCACCCAACATTAAAATAGATTTTCTCCGGGTCCATGTGTGTCTGTCAGTAAAATATTTTATGAGACAGATTTTAATGAAACTTTCATAAAACAATCATTGTTTGTACAAAATGTTGTGTGTATGTGTGGGTTTATTTTTGGTGACATTTAGGGGCAATTTTAAGACAAAAATCCTACATTTGGGGACAATTGGTGTATTTGGGGACCTAAGTTGAGTCCCCATTTGGTTTAAAGGCCATTGGTGGGTTGGGGGTTGGGTTTAGAACCAAGGTGTGAATTGAGTTTAGGTTAGATTTAGGGTCAGGTAGGTACCTGTGAGGTTAATTCTAGTGTAAATTGTCAGGGTTAGGATATAAAATTTCCAAAAAATGAATGGAAATGAATGGAAAGTCCCGCAAGGATAGAGAGACATAGTATGTGTGTGTGTGTTTTTGTCTGTATTCATACAAGCTAACATCAAGGCAACAGAGAGCGAAATCAGCCAGTGGTCAGAACAACTGATTAAACTGATTTTTTACCATGAAGACTGAGATGTTTTGGTTCTACAGAACAACTAATGGTTGGTCGAATGACAAAAAGAGTTTTGTTCACTTACTCTTCATCTTGCAGCCGCTCCTCATCTTCCTGGTTTTGGACCTGGTTGCGGATGGGTGCCAGGCCTTCAGTCTTGGTGTTGTAGTTGTGGAAGCAGACGTTGAGCTTCTCGTCAAACTCGTTGACCAGGTCCTCCATCGACTTGAAACTCATCATTTCAGAAAAGTTCTCCAACTCGGAGAAGTCTTCTCGAGTGATGGAGCTCAGAGGGACTGTGGAGTTGTTGGTGGTGGTGGAATAAGAGGGGAGACTCAGAGCTGGAAGGTCCAGATCATCCAACCGGAAGGATCGGAGGTCTTCAAACTCCTCATCCAAGCACACAATAGGGGCTTCCATGATGTCCCCTTTCAGGTTTGTCTGGATAGTCTGGACCCTGCAACAAAGTGAAAATCAGATGTTTTAAAAGTCTTAAAGGTCTCTGTGACTRCTGGTGAGAAAACAGTCTACCCGAGCTCTGTCTGTCACCAGATGATCACTGAAATATGGCCACATTTTTACAGACCAATCTTTAAAAATCMGTTTATTAAATGTGCACGGCTTGCAAATCTGTATTCCAGCTGTGCACATCATTTAGTTGCCCACTTTGACCAACATACTTACCTCAGCCTGCTTTATACCACCTTTCAAATTGCTCTCAAGTTTAAGAATGTTTCTGCTGGAATACATTTTACATTTGTTTAGACTTGCCGTGTCTGAACTGTAGTTTTTATATCTTTACCAGTTTTTACTCAATCAATGTAGAGATTTACAGATTTCAGTGTGAATCACACAAAATTGTGTAAACTTTTAAAAACTTTTCAATTTCCTCCAAAAAAAAAAGTGCTCGCACCATAAATTTCTTTGACTTCAATTGTTTCCAAGCTCAGAAACTTCTCTTCAAAACAGGAAATGAAAACTCTTTTTAAATTGGCATATCTTCTTCAACACTGAAGACCAGAGAAGAAGAAAACCAATAATTGAGTTTGTCCTGATTTAGGAAATAATCTCATTACAGCAGTGGACAATTTCAGACACAATAGAAACAGAACAGAAATCAGGAAATAGAAAACACATAGAAGAATAAGTAAATAAAGTAAGGCACCTTTTATTAATACAATAAAACAAAGTGCTTCACAGTGGGAAAAAATGTAAATTGCAAACATAAAACCAATAATCTGAAGCTGTGAGATAATGTTTGACTACTGACAAATGCCAACCTGAAGACTTGGACCTGTGAAATGGTGTTTGACCACCAACAACCTCCAACCTGATGACCTGGACCTGTAAGATGTTTGAAGATCTCGATCATATTGACCTTGACCTGTGAGTGGGTACTTGACCACCTGGACCTATGAGATAATGTTTGATCACCAATGACCTCCGACCCTATTGACCTGAAACTGTGAGATACTGTTTGACCAACCACAACTTCCGACCAGATGACCTGGACCTGTAAGATAACGTTTGACCACCAATAACCTCCGACATGATGACCTGGACCTGTGAGATAATGTTTGACCAACAATGACCTCCAACCTTATGACCTGAGCCTGTGAGATAATGTTTGACCACTGAAAAGCTCTGACTTGATGACCTGGACCAGTGAGATAATGTTTGATCACCAATGACCTCCGACCCTATTGACCTGAACCTGTGAGATACTGTTTGACCAACAATGACCTCCAACCTGATGACCTGGACCTGTGAGATAATGGTTGACCAATGACCTCCGACCATATTGACCTGGACCTGTGAGATACTGTTTGACCAACAATGACCTCCAACCTGATGACCTGGACCTGTGAGATAATGGTTGACCAATGACCTCCGACCATATTGACCTGGACCTGTGAGATACTGTTTGACCAACAATGACCTCCAACCTGATGACCTGGACCTGTGAGATAATGGTTGACCAATGACCTCCGACCATATTGACCTGGACCTGTGAGATACTGTTTGACCAACAATGACCTCCAACCTGATGACCTGGACCTGTGAGATAATGGTTGACCAATGACCTCCGACCATATTGACCTGGACCTGTGAGATACTGTTTGACCAACCACAACTTCCGACCAGATGACCTGGACC